AAGAACCAAGATGCATCATGTAAAGGTACAAGTTCCCAATGAGAAATGTAAATGTGTTGTATACCTACAATGTACCAATAAAAGAATTTAAGAAAAAAAATAAAAAAATAAAGTGCTACCACATCAAGATATAGAACTATTACATTAACATAAGGATTTCCTGTGCACTTTTTCATATCTAAACTTATCCAGTAGTGTTTAATTGTTGTTTTAATTTGCATCTTCTGATTGACTAGTGATGTCGAACATTTTCCGAATATGCTTGTTTGTCATTTTTCATATCTTCTTTGGTGAAATGTTTGTATCTTTGTACCATTTTCTAATTATTTTTTTTAGTTAGTCTTTACTATAGAGTTTTGAGAGTTCTTCATGTGTTTGATACAGTAGCACTTTAGCAAATATTTTCTCCTTGTTTTTAGCTTATCTTTCCCCCTTCTTACAGGATCTTTCATAGAAAGATACATTTTCTTTAATTGGATGAAGACCTATTTATCAATTTTTGTGTTTTTTCATTTAAATAATAAATATAAAACCATGTTGTTAATTATCTTATTTAGATGCAAAGCCAAATTTTTATAATTCCTGACATTTCTCCAGTGTCCATTTACTGGATTACTGGAGAATTATTTTAAAAACAATTTCATAACCTGTTACTAATCAGCATTCATGTCCTTGAGCTACAATTCTAAATTGCCAGCTCTACATAGCCAGGAAAAGAGCATGTGCCTATACTTCAGAAACATTTAAACCCTTATAAAGATGACTGCATAATTTCTCGATATTCTATTTTGGATAGTTCCTTTTCTTGAGAAAAAAAATGTAACATCGACTAAATCTTTAAACACTGTTTCATATGCAAAAGAACTAAGTTTAGAATAATTAAAACAAAAGAAATCAGGAAATGGACAAATGGGAAAAAAATAAACAATAACAATAACAAATGCAAACCAGACTATATAAACCACTAAATTTAATTTTCTTATGAACAGAATAACACAATTCCTTCAGTGTCATTCTAATTATCTACATCAATAAAAAGAATCCCCACATCTGAGAAAGAGGTAAAGAAGCAAGATTTTGTTAAATTGGACAACTGTGTAACTGGATCCAATTCTGTTCACCTCATTAATTCAATCCCAAAATGACCTGTGTTTACATCCCACTTGACACTGCAGGTCTATGTTGTCAGTGTTGACCAAGTTCCTACACTGTACCCCGTGCTATGAGAAAATGTAATAAAGACGTTTCTCACACCCTAGCCCCTCACTGGGGATCTGAACAAACATAAAATATCTATCCAAGTTCATATTATTCCAGGAATCACAAAACACATGAGAAATTATAAAGAACTATCAAAGTAGAAATTTTTTATCATATCCAAAGTAACATAATTGATTTAATTACTGAAGTAGTTAATTTACTTGACCATTACATTTACATTTTAGCTAGAGATAGCTTATCATGAGAACATCATGAAGTTCTTAAAATTATGGGCTATAGGGTCAATATGTCAGAGTTGGAATCTCTGACAAAATGGGTTTAGTAGGTTGGTGTGAGTAGAAACTGGATTAGAAAGTCCAATAAGAAAAAAGTGGAGTGGAGATAATTCCCCAGAAAAAGACTGGCAGACAAGAAAATAAAACTAATTTCAATTACAGGGAAATACAAAATGAAGAGTATTTTGGAAGTGGCATTTTAGATTAAGCATCCAAGAATATATTTGAATGCTGTTTGGAAGAAATCCACACAGCCAGAGACTGAAGATATAAGAAGAGGAAATTACTAGCAGAACAAGATCATTGAGAAGAACAGGTAAAGGTTCCAGATCATATGTAAGAAAATAGATTTCTTAGAAGACAGTACACTTCCTCTACTGGAACATGTAATCAATTAGGATGAATGCAGATGCAGATACAGTTTATAGATTTAGTGGCAAAAGAGTGACAAAATTCCAGCTTCGTGTGACCTGTTTTTAAAATAAGATATGAAGCAAGACCATCTGCACACAGTGGATGTGTGATGTCAAGGGATGGGACAAAAAAGAAAAGGACAGGGTACAATGAACCAACTGTCCTAGTTTTCATGGAACAAGAAGATTCCTGTGACTACAGACTCTCAGTGATAAAATCAGAAAAGTCTCAGCAGTTGGTAGAGGTTGTTCATTCCAAAGTCTGAGGAGAGTGGAAAGGATATAAAATACTCTGTACAGAGTAGGAGTAAGTTTGCTAGTAAAAAAGAGTAAAATTACTTGTGTTGAATGCCCAGGCAATGTTGGTGGCCACGAATTTATAGCATAACAGTATACTGAGTAAGACTGAAATCTGATTGTGCCACAGGCAGAAAGTATCCCAAACTTAATTTGTTCGTGGTACATTGTTGGTATTTTTTCTATTGTACCTCCAAATTTTCTGGCCACTTGTCCGTCTGTTCTACTAGACTAAAGATTCTATTAGGGCTGCTACGACGACTGCTTTGTTCATTTAACACATCCTAGCAACAAAAATGTAGATTCAATTGAATTTATTTTAAATTTCAATAATTAAGTTAAATAACGCGTGTGAAGCTCCCATCAAATGCTCAGTAAGTGGAAGCTAAAAATGTCTTTATCTTTACTCCTATTTTTTACAGTAGGGCACAGGTCCTGGTTTGTAGACATTTACATCTCAATAAACACTTGTTAAACAAAAAGCTCAAGTTAGAGCTAGGATCTTGAATTATACCTGACAGCGGCAAATCCCTCAATCGTTTGTTGACTTTACTTCCACTACCCTAATTGCTGCCTTCTGAAATTCCAGGTTACGTTGTGTTCTTTAAAAAGAAAGTAAATAGGTGACAAAAATCCAAGAAAGTAATTGTAAATTGTCACCATGGAATGAAACGTACTTTAGCGGGAAACCACAGATGCAGTAAAGTCTCAGTGCTTGTGTATTTTCAATTTCTTGACCACTAGGTGGTGAAAGAGTCCCTATTCTAAAAACACAGTTCTAACAAGTTTGTGTTTTTCTCTCTCAATACTCACACAGGGCTTTGTACGTGAAGAAAATCCAATAAAATTCTTGAAAACTTCCGCTTGGGAGACACAGCGTTTAAAAATAAAGGCTGTTGTAAAACTGGTAGGAGGAGAGAGGAAGGGCGGAAATACAGTTCGAGTCCTGAGGAAGCTAAACTACAACTCCCAGGAAGCCACGGGCTGGGCTTCACGTTACGCCTGCGTTGCGACGCTTCAGGACTCGGTTCGCGGCCACACACTTTTTTCAGCAACAAAGAGAAACCCAAGGAGCGCAAACTGGCGAAGCAGCTACGCCTTGACGACCACGGTATCTTCCTGAGGGTGGTGGTTCCAATCTTCGCTTCTAATGGACCAAGGAAACCAATAGCTGCCCCGTTGTACCCGTTAGCCACGTGACCATCCCGGGTCCTGTGACTCTGGAGCTCAGCTGCCGAAGTTTGTTACCCTGACAACCGCTGGCCCATGGGGACCTTCGGGAAAGCGCGGGATTCAGAGGCAAAGGTAGGTCAGGCGTGGACGCTGGCTCGCCTTCTAAAATACCTTAGCCAAGGTTGTGCCTTAAAGCTTTCATTTGTCGGGTCATTACTCTCTCCGCCCGAACTCCACTGCAGATGCGTCTTCGTTTACCTGCCAGCATCCAAATTCGCGCTTTCTGGAGCCAGGACGCCGCCAAACTGAAGCCCTTTTGATGGGTTCCGCCTCTAATCAAGCTTTGGGCAAGACTTTAACCGCGGCCACTCAGACCTGATCCAAAATGCTGATAAAGGGAGGGGGTATCGTTCTGCAGGTTAGGGAAAGTACGGTCCGGGGAGCTGGCCGACTTCCTCTCTAGCATAAAAGAACGCTGGGGTTTGTGGAGCCTCAAGGAGTTAAAATCCAGAAGCTAGGGCAGATCTGAAATTGGGTTCTTTATGGGGGAAGAGGATAGCTTTGCGTTGCAAACCACTGGATTCCACTTAAAGTGTTCAGGGCCTTGTTTTTGTTGGCTTCCGTTTCCTTGCTCCCACCCCCATAGCGCTAACTTGCATACTATAAAAGTAGTCTTTTAAGTACTGAGTCTGTTAAATCTGATTGTCTATATCTGGAAGTGAATTTTGCAAAAGGATTAACAAGGATTGGAAAATAACTAGCCGAATCCGGGAGCACTGACTGGTCTTTACAAGAAAAAAATGGTGGTTCTTTCAGTTTGCTGAGATTCTCTTTGAAGACCTGGATTGTGTCTGAGAGGTATTAAATAACATGCAGATATATGTAAGTTTAGTGAATATTGCAGATTCCACCCTTTACCAACTAGATGTTAACAGATGACAGTGTAATTCTGGACCCTGAGTAGAAGGTAGACTTTTCAAGCTGCTTTTTCAAATCAGTTTGCTTATTGAATTAGGAATCTCTTAAACCAGCTTACTAGTTATAATTGTGCGTGCAGACTAAGGTATAATGAAATTTCTAAAGTTTGACAGTTTTTATGATGTGATAGAGTTCCTCTATAAATGTTTTTCTTTTGTCCTTTACTGTTTCCAGTGTTGTAAATTCTTTAGAATGTTTGCTTTGGGAAATTAAAATTATTGACAATGGCTCATTACTCTAAAGAGGAGCTGGATGAAGAATTTGAACAGTTTATGAAGGAGGTAAGTTTATGTCTTTTAAAAGCAGTATTGTAAATTTGTCTCATCTAGTTCTCTTCCATTTCAAATGCTGCTCCACCTTCTAATTGAATGCCATCATTTCACCTGGCCTCCTGCAACTATTCCCAACCAGTGGCCTTCACCACAATCCAGCCAGATGAGCTGTCATTTTTCATCTGACACTCTTCATCCCCAATATAAAACCATATGTCTTCCTGTCTCATGTAGAATAAAATCCAAACTCCTCATGTTGCCTTATGAAGGCCACTATAATTTTACTCATGTCTACCTTACAGGGTTTATATCACTCTTTCCCTTTGTCCACTTTATTTACAGTGGCCTTGTTTCCCCCACGCTTGTCATACCATTTCACCTTAAGGCAGTGGTGGTGAACATTTAGATCTTTCAGTGATAAACAGCCCACTGCAGTACATGTGCCATAGGTTCGCCACTACTTCTTAGTGGCTGTGTAGTGCCTGTTCCCTCCAACAGGGTTGTCATGTTAACTAATTCTTCACTTGGTTGGTGAAGATCTTTAAATGTCAATACCTCAAAGAAGCTTTTTGTGATAACTCAGTAAAAAGTAACCCAGTCACTTCTTAGTATACCATGTATTTAATTCTTTTCATAGCACTTAGCACCATTCATTATTTTTCTTGTGTGGGTCTATTTTCTACTTTATAAGAACATATGGTCCATGACATTATAGCTAACCTCATTGTCAAGTATGCAGGACCTAAAAGATGCTTGCTAAATATCTGCTGAATGAGTAATGGGCTATGCCACATTCTGTATATTTACATGGATGGAGGGGACTTGTAGAACATTCAGGAAAGTGCTTGTTCTTAGAGTGGTTAATAAGCTTTTTAAAATTAGCTTTGAGATATTGTTGACTCATTTAAAATATGTGTTTGGGGCCACGGATTTAGCTAAGTAGCACTGTGCCTGCCTCACAAGCATAAGCTCCTAAGTTCAATCCCTGGTACCAAAACAAAACAAAATTAATAAAATGTGTGATTTAGTGGTTTTACAGTTATAAAACCAATGTCACCACAGTCAATTTTTAGAACATTTTTGTCACCTCAAAAAGAAACCCTGTGTCTGTGGCAGTTATTCCCAATTTCTCCTGTTCCTCAGCCTCAGACAATATTCATCGCTAAAGATTTGCCTATTGTGAACATTTCATAGAAATAAATTATGCTGGATATGCCCTTTAGGGTCTGGCTTATATTATTTAGCATAATGTTTTCAGGGTTCATCCATGTTGTAACATGTATTAGTACCTCATTTCTTTTTCTAGAGGAATAGCGTGCTACTGTATGTATATGCCACATTTTGTTTATCACTTACCAGTTGGTGGATATTGGGGATCTTTCTACTTTTTGGCAGTTTTGAATAATGCTGCTGTGAATAATCATGTACAAATTTTGTGTGGATGTATGTTTTAGTTTCTCTATACCTGGGAGTAGAATTGCTGGGTTGTATGGTAACTGTGTGTTTAGCCTGTGAGGAACTACCAGAGTATTTTCTAGAGTGGCTGTGCTATTTATATTCCTACCAGCCAGGTTCTACTTTGTCCATATCCTTGTTAACACTGTTACTGAGGACCAACTTTTTGGTTTGTTTTGTTTTAATGGTAGTAATTTGGAAAGCAATGTGAAAGGTTTTCAAAGTCAGAACACCTACAATGTAAGAGAAAATAAAGTGGGTACTGTATTTCTTTTTCTGCTCTTTCTATAGTCCTGCAAGATTAGTGGTCCTGTGCCTATGTTATAGATAAATGAACTGGAAAAATTGGGGGAGGAAAGCAAAAGAGGGAGCATTTTAAGGTAATAGTGATGTTTAGAGTTTAAGTGGAAAATGATGCAAACTAGCTAACAAATTCAGATGAAATGATATTTTTTCTTCCCTCCTCTTTTCCTAAGTAGTTGTCAGTGAAGATAATGAGGTCTTTTTGAACATTTTAACATGGACAGTTTTGCAGGTTACTGAGGTAGAGTTTTTTGTTTGGCAGGTAGGAGTGTGTGTGTGTGTATGTGTTGTCATCTTAGAAGTTACTGGTAACCATATCCTAGTTTGGAGGCTATATGGTATAGTAGAATATAGACAGGCTTTAGTAGTAAAGATAACCTGAATGCAGATCCTGACATAGATCGGGCATATACAAATGTGTATATTGTCCCTAGAAAAAAAGTGTGCAGAGTGAGAATGAAAAAACCACCAAGAGAATAGTCTCATGCTGAGGAAATGAGCAAAAGAGCCCAAAGCTATTAAAACAGATGGTTGGGAGAAGCCACAGAGCTGAGGAGTCACTGAGTGAGAGTGATGCAGATGAAGCCAAAGAGAGTTTCAAGAGTCTCACCAGATTCAAATTCCATGATGTGACCTAGGAAAATGACTGACAGTAGTCCTTTATTTGTGGTGTTTAGGAGGCCTTAGGTAGGTACCTGGAGGAAAGCCAATTTGGTTGAAACCAGATCTTAAGGGGTTGAGCAGTTTATTCAAAAATTGGTATATAAAGGAGAACTGATAGGTAGAGTAAAAGGGAAATAAGAATAAGAAACTTATCCTGTTGTATTTTGTTTTCAAAGTAGAGTAGACTTGAGTATTCTTTTATTCCCCAGACTTGCCCACAGCTATGCAAGGTGCTGGATTTGCAGTGCTGAGCAGGTTACTAATCTAAGAAAAGGGAGTGAAGGTACAGAAATAAAATGGAATAACCAAGGAATAACCTGGAGAAGTGAAGTGACACCTCCACAGATTCTACTGGGAATGGGGGAAAGAATTGTCCCTTAAGTAAATTTAGAGGTGAAGTAAGGGCATGTGGTGTAGTACTTTACTGAGATCTTTATTTCCTGAATGAAGATAGAGGCCACCTTACAGAATAAGGGAGGAAAATATTGGGATAAGAGTAGGGGATCTAGAAGTGTAGTGAAATTTAGACCAGATGGGTAGATGACAAATACAAGTTTATCACAGTTTATTAATCATTGTTATAAAACACTAATTTCTGTAGTCAACACCATCATCCTCTCTACCCACTGAAATTCAACTCTTCCTTGCCTTGCAATTCTGTGTTCTTCTGCCGTGATTCTTGGTAATTTTGTTTAATCTCTCCTGTTTCTTAATTCCTAGACAGTGTCTAAATACGATTGTATCCTTCCCTTGTGTTTCTTTTCCTAAACAAATATCTTGATCAAGTTTTCCTTTTGTTCTAGTTTACTCTTTTAATTCTGGATATGAAATCAGTGTTCAGAGACACATGCTTGATGTTTAAGTTAGTTGGCCACCTATGCCTAGAGATAATGAATGTATACATTATTGTTGAAAATCTTATATGATAACTGAAAGGTGAAAGAACTAATAGAGAAATACTATTCTTAAATACTAAATCTGGAATTCTTTGCACTGTATTTTATAATTTAGTAATTTGTGTCTGATTTAGCTTTCAGATGATTCTTTTGACAAGTCAAATAAAACACCTAGACAACCTAAAGAAGTAAAGAAGAAAGATACTATGCCTTGGTGGTTAACTGAAGATGACTTTGAAGATGGTGGTAAATATTGCTGATGTTTAGTTTTAAATTATTTGACCACAAGGGGTCAGTCAAGACTTATAATTCTTGATGATATACATATATACGTATATATGTGTTTATATGTATATATGTATGTTTATATGTGTTTATGTATGTATGCTTATATGTATGTTGATAGTATAGATTCTTGAGATTTGAATTGATTTTCATATTGCAGTACTTTATTACATATCTGTTATGTAATTGACAAGGTGTTTTTGCATCAAGTTATTTTACATTGAGATCATCTAGATTTGCTCATATTAAGGTGATGAATAATATAGATATATTATTTTATATTTAATGGTAAATTGATTTAACAAAATCCTGGCGATATGTTAATATAAACCCATGGGAACAGTTTTTTTAAAATCTGTTGATTTTGGTATTATATTAATACTGTTAAAAGTAGATTATTGCTTTAATGATAAAAAAGAAGAAACTCATTATTGATCTTCTCTGGCACATTTGTATCTTTTCTGGAATAGTTCCAATTACAGCTTTACAAATCTAAAATTACTTTGAGTGTTTTGTTACACTTGCATTTAGTTAGTATGCATTCTGTGGTACTATGACCTACAGTAAGTATGTCATAAATGGTACCATATATGTTATATTTACTGTATATGACCCTACCATATCTGTAAAGAACCCAAGTACTTCTGTTTAACTACCTATGTTTCCAGGGTGTGTGGATCAGTGTTAAACACCATTTTGTAAACTGATAGAATTTCTGTATCTTGGGCCGGGGATTTAGCTCAGTGGTTCCAATGCCTGCCTCGCAAGTGCAAGGACCTGAGTTCGATCCCCAGTACCACACACACACACACACACACACAAAGAATTTCTATATCTCTTCTCTATAGAGAATAACTTACCTGTGGCCTGTTTTTGCCATAAAATTAAGTCTGAAGCTGAGTATGGTGATACGTGTCTGTAACCCTAGCACTCTGGGAGGCCGAGGCAGGAGGATCATAAGTTCAAGCTTAGTATGGGCAATTTAGTGATTTAATGAGATTCTGTCTCAAAATAAAATTTCAAAATGAGAGGCAGGGGAGTGTTCTGAGGGTGTAGCTCAGTATGAAGGCCCTGGGTAGTATCTTCAAAAAAATTGAGTCTGAATTTCTTAATGTAACAGTTGAGGCTCTACATAATCTGACTGGAACCTTCCCTTTCTACCTCATGTGCTGCAATCATGCTCATTTATCCCATATATCCTAGAAATACCTTGGCTCCCATTTCTCTGTGCCTTTGCCATGCCATTATAGTACCTTTCCTGGTGCCTCAGCCTCCAAGAGTGTTTGGATTATAGCCATATACCACCACATCCAACTCCATACATTGTGTTTTTTTTTTTCTTTACAACAAATATTCATTTATCCCTCTGTATCTATTTCTAGGACCCACTGATACCAAACTCTTGAATGTTCAAATCCCCTATGTAAAAGGCATACGTAGTATTTTAATGTAATTTTTTTCTTTTGGTACCAGGGATTGAACTCAGGATCTTGTGCTTGCAAAGCAGGCAGTGAAACCACTGAGTTAAATCCCCAGCCCTAATGTAATTTAATGTCTACCCATATACTCTACTTTAAGTCGTCTCTAGATTACTTATACCTGATACCATGTAAATGCTATGTAAATAGTTATACTGTATTGTTTAAGTAGTGATGACAAGAAAGAGTGTGTATGTTCAGTAATCATCTTTTCCAGAAATTTTTGATCTGTAGTCAGTTGAACTCTTAGATGTGCAACCCACAATTACAGAGGGCTGTGATATAAAGAAGTTTTGGTATTGTATAACCTGCTGTGATTTTGGAATAAAGAGTATTGGTCTGTGAGGATGAGCGTGGTAGATCATTGACTTCTAGCTTTAGGCTTATTTTCTCCCACATGCACCCTCTCTTACTAGGTCCAACAAGGTCCCATCTTTTTGCATCCTCAACTGGCCTGCTTTTCCCATTGTTAAGCCTTTGTACTTACTATTTCCCCTGCCTATATGTGTCTCCCTTTCCCAGTGTACCTGGTTGTCTGCTACTCTTTCTTTCCATTTTAGCAAAAGTGTTACTTCCTTGCAGAAATAGTCTTGGCTTTTCCAGTCTTGGTAAGACCTGAACCTCATTGATATAGCTTTCCTTCAAAGTTCTAGGGTTGTAATTCATATTTAGTTCTCCTCTGCAGACCCTGATGCTTCCTCGGTAACCTCCAGTATTTACTGATTTCTTTCCTTCTTTTCTTCAGGTGCATTAGACCTGGAAAAAGGATGGTTTGTTCTTCATTGCTTTTTCTAGACCTTTCTCCTTGCAATCTCCTTACAAAGCATGTCATCAGAGCCGTCAGTATTTGTCATTATTGTAATTGTCTGCTGATGTCCAAGTTATTCCTTCTTCTTCAAAGAGACTAGCTCTTGTTTTACCATCAGTCTCCAATTCTCCTGTCTGATTTTGTTTGGCTTTATTAAGCACATAGTTAATCTCTCCAGTACCCTGGCTTTTGAGTTCCTTGAACCTTTTTATACCAAAAATCTGGTCATCCATAGTATTGCCCACCTAGTCCCTCTAATAGCTTTTCATGTCACTAATCATGAAGTCCAGTGACCAGCAAGCTGTAACCCTAGCCCTGTACTGTGCTCTCTGACCTTTCATCTTTCCCTTGCTCATGCCAGTGTGAGTCCTGGGCTTCTGATGTAGAGGGTTTATACATGTTTCCTTTTATTTCAACACTTCCTCTAAGATTGCTGTGGATTGGCCCCTTATCTCCATCAACTCTTAGCTCAATTGTTAACTTTTCCATGAAGGCATGGAATTTGCAGTGTCCTCACTCTTGCATTCCCTATCCCTCTTGTTTTAATTTTCTTCTTTGTACTTGCTGTTTTCTAATGTGGTATTACTTCTTTTACTTTTTTCCTGTCTCCATCTACATGAATATAAACATCACAAGGGCAGAGATTTTTTCCTATTGTATTCACTGATAAATCCCCAACATTTAAAATAATATCTGGCATGTAGTAGGCACCAGTAAATATTTGTTGTTGATAGCCTGCCTCTCCAAACTTTGTTTCGTAATGGTAAGGTGCTGCCTTGTATGGGCGACACTAATACTTTTCTAGGGACACAATTTAACAAATCTGAATAAAATAGATAATATTTAAAACCTATGTAAACAAAAATTGTAAGTTTTGCCCGGGATTCATTTTTTAAACTTTTTATTTTTAAAAAATTGTTCAAACCTATTCAGAAAGAAGTAAAATGTACCCATTGCCTTCCTACAACAACTAGTAACTCATGGCCAAACATGTTTCAAGTGTATCCTCTTTCTCCCCCTGCCATTATACTGAAACAAATCTCTAGCACCATATCACTTTTAGCCACAGATATTTCAAAATATCTTAAAGTCTCTATTTTTAAAATATTATGCAAGAAATATTAATAATTCCTTAATATCATCTGATACCTAATCAGTCACAGAACACTCAGTATGTTTAGTATGTATTAGCTTTTGAGAAAATTTCACATTCCAAAGTGCTGTGAGAGATTTTGATAACCTTTCCTCCCTCAACAACAGACACTCCTGCCATGGTGAGAATCTTTCCTGTAGTAAGCCACAGTTTCCAATGTTGTTGAAATAAATGATTTTTAAAGGTTTTTTTTTTTATATTTCCATCTTTTTAAAGTGAAGTTTATACTGACAAAGGATCTTGTTTAGGCTCTCTATATTAATTATTTATATCTGCTTTACGTTTTGTGTTAGGCTGCTTCATGCTATTATATTCCTAAAAAAGTTGCAAGTCAACAAAAGCTTTGTAACTAAAGCAAAGAAGAGGGAATAAAACCAAAGAAAAGTGGTGTGGCCAACTGCATTAAGTACTTATGCTTCAAAATAGTCTTTTAAAATCATGCAAATTTTTGAAATACTCCACTTATAAAAGATACACTGCAATCAAGTGAAATTATAGTTTTTCTTTTGTGAATTTTATATATGATGGATTTTTATTTAATATATTCATTTTGTAGCTACTGTCCACAAATTTAACATAATAGTATTATTGTGTTGGCATACTGACCCAAACAATTCTCTGAACACAAATACCAAACCATGTTAAATCCTATTCCTAGGACTGCTTGGAACAAACGTAAGCTATTTGAAAACAAAGACTTCTCACCAAGTGATGGAAATAGAAGATGAGTCTGCTGAAAAATCTCAGCTTCTTAAGAGCAGTGGAACCTCTATCTTAAGTGTTGACAGCTTGGAGACAAATGGTAAGAATGTGAAGAATATGAGTTGACAAATTATTAATATGCTTATATTTACAATTTTTATAAAAATTTACTCATAACTATCTTGGAGCCTCTTTTACTAAGGCATGTAGACAGATTTAGTATCTTCTCAGAGTTTTAGAATTACAACTCCTGAGAAGCCTTAAATTCTATAATATTGATTTCAATTACAGAGTTATTTGCTAGATGAGAGATTAGGAAAACTATTTGTAAAAATCTTCATTTTACTATATAATGCTGATAAATGTCTCATTTAAATTTTATCAAAATTCCATGTATTAATAAAGTATATTTTTGCTTTCTATTTAGAACTAATAGTTTCTGAGCTCAATCATAGTGTTCTTGGATTGGGATTGGACACATTAGAAGAACAAGAAGAAAAAGAGCAGTTTTTTGACAAGCTTGAGAAAGGTTTGACCTCTTCCATTGATTATTCAAGATTAAACAAGGAATTGGATTCCAGTGACTCTACACATTTTAAAGGTTTAAGCAGGTAAAGTAAATACAATATAAGCTATTAACTGACTTTTGTGTTTTTTTCTGTATTTTTGGAAACCTGATGCATTGACTCACATAGAAAAACCTAACAGACAAAATTAACTCTGTTCTCTGTTCTTTATTATGGTTAGGGTTTTTCTTATGTATGAACAGAATATTTTGATTTGTCGGTAGAAAACCCACTCTACCTATAAATACTACCTGAAATTTCATACCTAAGATACTATTGAAACTTAGTATATTGTAAAGTCCTACTGAGAAAAAAATGAAGTGATTTTCCACAAATAAAGTAAAATAATGAAGTGCAAGTTGTTATTATACATGGTTAATTTTTTTTTGAGACAGGGTCTCACTATGCAGTTCAGGGTGGCCTTGAACTCCTATGTAGCCCAAGCTAGCCTCGAACTCGTGGCAATCCTCCTGCCTCAGCCTCTCAAGTGCTAGGATTACAGACATGCACCACCATGCCTGCCTCAGGTTGCTATTATAAACGCAGGAGAAAATAGAAAAAAAAAAAAAACCGAAGTCAGTAGTAGGGAGTCTGACCGCTATGTATGGTTGACTCTATTGGTTATCAGGACAGCTCATTAATCCTAGAAATCCTCCTAGTTGACTGAGTTGGTCATCTCTCAAGAATAGTAGACCATTGCCATTCTCAAAACCTTTGTGGGCCCAGGGATTTAGCTCAGTGGTTTCGCCACCTGCTGCGCAAGCGGAAGGACCCGAGTTCGATACCTGGTACCACAAAAAAAAAACCTTTGTGATAACTCACGTCTTTAATGTCCTCACATTAGTCATCCATGTAATTGTTTTGTTATAAATGAAAAGCAGATTATGATTTTATTTTAATTTTGAGAATACAAAAGTATGATTGAGAGTAAAGAGAAGCATAACTGCTAGTTATTAGAATGCCTAGTCCCAGCATGATTAGTTTCTTACAGAAAATAGATAAAGCAATACATTTACTAGCATGAAATGTGCAGGGTCTGAAACTGATACCCTACTTGCAAACTTTGTGGATATTGGCAATAAACACAAGATTCCTCAGTCAGAAGCAGAAGGCCTTACTTCTCAGTGCAAAACTAATACCCCACGGTCATGTTTATCTGCATCAGTTCCTGTACCCCATGAGTTCTGCCCAGGCCAGGCAAAGGATCCACAGTGGGTGTCTGCACATGCAGTGGGTTGTGTTACAGGAGAGATACACTGAGCTTGGGGAATCCATTGCTGCTTTTATAGTAAATGGAAACAAGCTTGCTTCTGGGGTAGAAACATTTCCTCACAGCTCAAGATTAATTGCTACAAACATCACACTGAGAAAGGCTAAGGTAAAGAATGGTTAGGGCCTTGCATTATTGGGATACTTGGAAACAAGGTGCAGGGATGTGCATTGCCTATGGCCATTGCCTCTTAACAGTGATATCACAGATTAAGCATGCATAAGCTTTATGGCCACAATTTGTCTCTGAATATTTCTTTACTTTTTCTTATCAATAATATTCTTAACCATTTGTATGTTTGCTCCAAAATAGGCTAGTCAGAGTGCAGCATGGCGTGGAATATACATTTTGCTGCTATTATCATTGTTACATTTTTATAGTTTGTCAGGTCTGCTAATGATTTCACTAAAGACAGAGTTAATTGACTGGAAAAGGTAGAATTGATTCCTTAGTTTGAAAGAACTAATTAGTATATGAACTAATATGTCCTGTATAATCTAAACATGCTCAAGCTCATTTGTCCCCTTGCTTTTAAGTTTTTCTTGAACTAAGGCTTATATTTGCTTCTGTTTCAAGATTAAATTGGGTATTAACATGTGAATGCTGGGGGTAATTTTTCTTGGTCTTTATGTAGATTTCATTGGATCTCATAACTTGAGGTCAGTTGTTAATCTTTAGAGAAGAAGAGATTTCTGGGCTATAAAATAATGTATACACATAGAAATGCACACATTTATGTACAAAATAGTTTGTGTTTATATGTAAATTTAAGAAAAGTTGGTTTTTTTAATTACTTTTATACCTAGAGTTGACCTTAGGCTTTGAGGATCCTTTATTTTCAAAACATTTTTCTTAGATTTCCAAGTTTTTAGTTTTTAATAAAACGAGTACTTGAAACATAATTTTACAAGTTAATTAAATGTTTTTTCCAGTTATCGGGCTAATGTAGGACTAATTGAAGATGAACATGAGAATGAATCAAAACATGAACAACTCCCAGGTAATTTCATTGGCTTTAGATTTTACAATATTTGAGAAAGTAGTACAGGTACAGCTTTTAAATAAAGGCATTTATAAGAAAATAATGAAATATTTTGGAAAGAGCTTTGACCAGGTAGAATGGAGTTGACCTATATTATAATCTGAGCTGCTAATTAATTATCAAAAGTGAATTTCGGTCTCATTTGTTGAAAGTGGGCAGTGGATCGATTAGAAAGACAGGAGAAAGGGTTTTTTTGTGTGCCAAGGCTGGAAATTGAAGTCAGGACAAAGAGCTGCAAAGAACATGGCAGTGGGCATATACGTGATTTTTCATATTTTGACTTTGAGCATGTCTCCACTATTTATACTTAGAATGATTTTCTTGTAAGGATGTATAGCTAACTGGGCTTTGCTTTTTAGTTTAATATGGCCATCTCTGACTTTTAATTGATATGTTTCTACCCTTTACAAAAATGTATGGGTTGATATGGGTTGTTGCTGCTTTGCCATTGTTTTCTATCTTTTCATTATTTTTTGTTGCTTTTGTCCTGCATTCTGTTGAATCACATTCCATTTTAAAAATTTATACATATTTGTAGTACATAATGTTTACAATCTTTGTGGAGAATTGGTACATGTACATAATCCATCTTTTTTTCCCAAGGTTTTCTGTTTTTTTTATTTTATATTATTTTATTAGTACTTCTTTGAGGTACATGAAATTTACATTCATCTTAGGGTGTAGGTACATGTACGTAACATAGCTTGATTCTTTTTAATCCTTTTCCCCTCCTCACCACCTCCCTCCCTCCATCTCTGAATCCTCTTTTCCTGTTTTCATTCTTATGTTATTATTATTTTTTAGTTCGTGTCATATAATATTTACATTAATTGTGGGTATTTGGTACATGTAATTGACACATCTTAAACCTTTTTACTTCCCCTTCTCACCCACTCCTTGCATTCATTTTCCTGGATCCATTCCCATTTGCAAAAGATTTATCTCCTTTTTCCTTTATAAATCCTTTCTTTTGCTCTTTATATGTACTTTGCCGTATTCAAATAAGATCCCATATGGTATTTAAGTTTGTGTGTGTGATGTATTTCTCTTAACATTTTATTTTTCAGTTGTATCCACTTTCCTACAAATGTCTAGAATTTGTCCTTCTTTATAGCCAAGTGCTCTGCTATTCTATTATGTATGCATGCCACATTTTTTTATCCATTTATCTGTTACTGGGCATACAGGCTGCTTCCAGGATTTAGCTATTATGAATTGTGCTGTAGTAAACATTGGTATTCATGTATCACTATAGTATGATGCCTCTAGCTCTTTGGGAAGACACTTAAAAGGGGAATAGCTGGGTCAAATGGAATTTCTAGTTTTAAGTTTTTTGAGGAATCTCTATTTTATTTTTAGTTTACGGGGTGAGAGATATAGGTTCAGCTTCAGTCTTCTGCAAATAGCCAGTTTTGCCAGTACCATTTGTTGAGTAGACTATCCTCCAACTTACGTTTTTGGCCCCTTTGTCAAAGATCAAATACCTGAATGTGTCTGGGGATTGTTTCTGTAGTCTCTGTTCTGTTCCATTGCCCCACAAGTCTCTTTTTGTGCCAGTACCATGCCATTTTTATCACTGCTGCTTTGAAGTTAGGTATTGTGATGCCTCCTGCATTACCTGGGATTGCTTTTACTATTCAGAGTCTCTTCTGGTTCCTATGAATTTTAGGATTGTTTTCTTTAGTTCTGTGAAGAATGCTGTTGATTGGGATTGCACTGAATCCATGTATCAGTTTTGTGAGTAGAGTCATTTTGCAAATATTCATTCTGCCTATCCAGGAGCAGGGGCCATCCTTGCATTTTCTGCTGTTCTCTTCAGTCTCCTTTTTCAGAGTACTGTAGTTTTCTTTGTAGATGGCTTTCACTCCCTTAATTAGGTTAATTCCTAGGTTTTTTTTTTTCTTCTTCTTTTTTTTTTTCTTTTTTGGTACCAGGGATAGAACTTGGGTCCTTGCGCTTGCTCAGCAAGTGGCAAAACCACTGAGCTAAATCCCCAGCCCTCTTTTTTCTTGATGTTATTGTAAATGGTATTGTTTTCCTAATTTCTTCCTCATTGAATTCATTGTATTGATTTTTCTGTGTTGATTTTGTATCATGCTACATTGCTGAATATGGTTATTCTGAGTTTTTTGGTAGAATTACTTTGGGTCTTCTATGTAGAGTATCATGTCATCTGCAAATATGATAATTTTATTTTCTTTCCTGTATATATCTCCTTTATTTCTTTCTCTTGCCTAATTGCTCTGGCTAATACTTTTAGTACTGTATTGAATAGAAGTGGAGATAGTGGGCATCCTTGTCTTGTTCCTTAACTTTAGCTTTTAGTATGATGTTGGCTATTGATTTGTCATAAATGGCTTTAACCAGACTCAGGTAAGGTCCTTCTGTACCTACTTTCTTCAAAGTTTTTATCATGAAGGGGTGTTGGATTTTGTCAAATACCTTTTCTGCATCTATTGATATGATCATATGGTTTTTGTCCTTTTTTATGTGGTGTGTTATATTTATTGATTTGCATGTATTGAACCATCCTTGCAGCTCTGGGATGAAACATACTTGTTCATGATGTATGATCCTTTTGGTGATGTGTTGCATGTTATTTTCCAGTATCTTGCTAAGGGTTTTGCATCTGTGTTCATTAAGGAGATTGGTCTGTAGTTTTCTTTTTTTGTTGTTGTATCTTTGTTTGGTTTTGGGATCAGAGTTATGTTTGCTTCCAAAAATGAGTTTGGAACCACTCCTTCCTTTTAAATTTATTTAATAGTTTGAAGAGTATTGGTGATATATCATCCTTAAAGCTTTTGGAGAATCCATCAGGTTCTGGCCTTTTTTTTTAGTTGGTAGTTTTTTTTTTATTACCGTCTCAATTTCATTGCTTATTATTGGATTGTTTAATATTTTTATGTCTTCTTGGTTTTGTTTTGGTAATTTGTTTGAGTCTAGGAATCTGTCTGTTTCATCAAGGTTTTCCAATTTGTTGGCATACAAATTTTCATAGTAGTTACTGTCTTCTGGATTTCACTGTATCTGTTGTGATTTCACCTTTTTCATTTCTAATTGCAGTAATGTGAGTCTTCTCTCTCTTTTGGTAAGTGTGGCTAAGGCTTTATCTGTTTTGTTTATTCTTTCAAAGAACCAGCTCTTCAATTTGTGGATTCTCTGTATTGTTTTTAGTCTCAATTTCATTAATCTCCACACTGATCTTTATATGTTCCTTCCTTAATTTTAGTTTGGGCTTGGATTGTTGTTGTTTCTTAAGTATCTTGGAAGTTCCCCATTAGGTTATTTATTTGGCTCGCTGTTTTCCTAATATGAAAAACAATTGCAGTGACCCTCCATTTTAGGACTGCTATCTTTATGTCCCATAGTTTCTGATATATTGTACTGGCATTGTCATTTACTTTCAGAAATAGCTCAATTTCTCCCTTGATTTCTTCTGTGAGCCACTGAGTGTTCAAGAATGTGTTACTGTTACAGAAATCTGGGAAAGAAATACATAGAGACACAGAATTTGGATAAAGTAATAAAAATCCCCCCCCCCCAGCAGGCGGGTGTGGGAATGCCAGAAACCAGTCTGGTCAGTATCCAGCCCCCTTTGTTCAGTTTCCCTTTTTATATCCTTTTTAGCCATTATCTCATCCCTAGTGGTCTTTGATGTGTAAATACAATTCCAGTTCCTATTTACAAGTTAGAGACACAGGATAGGCACATATACATTGTAAATTTACCTTGGCATGATAACTTTGTTAGGTTAATGAAGTTACCAGTTAGAGTCAGATAATAGTCACCTTAAACAAGGAATTACAGGAAAAGCAAATCTTAAAAGAACACATTACTTACTTTGTTTCTACAACTACCTTAATATTCAATTTATTAAGTTAGCTGAAACTTTTTTGCATCATTCCTCCCTCTGTATACTTCGGGATAATTCTTTTATCCATTACAAGTTTTATCCAGTTTATCTGCATTTTTTAACACTAGCATTTTGTAGTCCTGAGCTGTAGCACTGTGCTACTGTATAAATTTTGAAATCCATTGGATGACACAAGGACCAAACATTAATATTAATATTATAACAAGAAGGGGACTCAGAAGAGGTCCTATCCAAGTTTTTTTATCTTGTCCAAGTAAAATTAATCTCATAGGACAGCTCTCCTATACCAAATTTCTCATCAAGAGCCTTGATCTGATCTTTTAATTTGTCTAATGATTTTTGTATTATAGCAGATTTATTAGTATATTAACAACTCTTTTTACCAAGAAATAAGCAAGTCCCTCCTTTCTGGGCTGTGAGCAGATTGAGAGAGAGCATGCCTATTTTGTAATGACATTGGCCAGTGAATGTAGTTAGGTTTTTAAAGCCTGAAGTGTGTCTCAGATTTCCTCAAGATCTTTTTAAATTTCTTGTCCTAATGAAATATATTACTCCTTGTAGCCAAATAAGATCCCATGGGGCTGGCATATACATAGATATAGGATTACATTGACCTTGTTTACAATTGTTACAATTACCAGTGGCTCGTCCAGCAAAGGAGCCCTTGATCCAAACTTGGGTTTTTTCTTTGTAATATAATTTTTCATTGTGTAAGACCGCTGTCCTTACCAAACGCTCCGAGAAGCTGACTATAGCGAAGCACACCCAGGGGTCCCAGCGGTGCCTCCTGAATGTAAGGCCAAGGGCCTTACCAAATGCTCCAAGGAGCTGAAGTGGAGCACACCTGGGGATCCCAGCGGTGCCTCCAGAATGTAAGACCAAGGGCCTTACCAAGTGCTCCAAGGAGCTGAAGTGGAGCACACCCGGGGATCCCAGCAGTGCCTCCAGAATGTAAGGCCAAGGGCCTTACCAAATGCTCCAAGAAGCTGAAGCGGACAAGTTGGAAAGTGAAACAGACCTTAGTCTGGCCAGACAGCACTCTCAAAGCAAAGTAGTTTAGAGAGGCAATCAGTCCAGAGTCCGA